ATCCCTGCCCACAATAATAGTGATAAAACAAGGTTGGCTGTTTAAAAATGGAGGAGATGCATAATTCAAATATTTTTTTGGTATTTACAATAAATATTATATTTCGGTTATAAGTTTTTGTAAAACATCTTTAATTTATCATAGGTTTTTAAAATTAGGTTAAAGTATACCAAAAATATTTTTTTATTCTAGCGTAGGTATACCTATAACAATTTTCATATTATAACACTCATAACTTATGAGTCATAGGCCTACATCGGCCTACATTGAATGACTTTATATTTGTACGCAGTTCAAAAGTCAAATAAACTAAATGTCAATCAATTCAATCTGTCATATTGAAAAAATATGAAAAATGCTATAGGTAACTAATTATATTATATTAGGTATACTTATTACTTACATTATATTATATTAATATAGCTTTAATAATATTATAGTTTTATCTGCATAGCCTATAATATATTATTAGGTATACCGATAATAATATAATAAATATAATAAATAACACGGCGGCGAAATCTAATTCTACTGTGAATAATGGTATTATTTTATATTAGGAATATTACCTATATAGGTAAGTAATATTTATTCTATGTAGGTAACTTGCATAATGCAATGTAATGAACATTAAAGTGTATTGTTAATAGTAAACGTACAAGAAAAATTTATCTTCAAACGTTCTATATAAAAAATTTACCTGATTTTGGATTGGTTATTTTTACACGTATACCTATGATAGTGAGCGTTGACAATAATAAAGCTTAAATTATATATAATTTAGACCAATCATGTAAAGTTTTTTACATCCTAGACTGTAAAAAACCCGTTAGAACAAATGAAAAAATTTTGTTCACTCTAAAGCTTTCTACCTCATTTTATAGGTACTATTAATAACTCGATTAATAACTGTTGGGGTAATACCGAGGGGGAAACCACCTTCAAAAAATATGTACACGTATACGTGTATATTGCGGAAATCCCATGATTTCGGAATGATTGCGGTGATTTCGGAGGATTGCGACCGAAATCCCATGATTTCGGTGATTTCGGAGAATTCTTTTTAAATTGTTGCAATTTCGGAGGATTACGACCTAAAATTAGTAATTGCAGGACTGCAATGGAATTGTGAGGATTGAAAGATGATTTTCGTTGAATTGGGTTGAATTGTAGATATGATTGCTAGCTTGATTGCGATAAAGAATCGAGAAAAGAAGAGAAGTCCTTCTTTTTTCTCGTCTCGTACAGGGAGAGAAAATGGGTCCTCGTCTCGACGAGAATACTCTTCTCTCGAGAGTGCCCCGTCTCGTCTCGTTTATCTCGTGGTAAAAGTAGCTATAAAATTAAAACACAAAAAATATTTGGGATAAAATAGGTACGAAACTTTTTTCTGTAGAAATTTGAACATGAAATAAAAAAAATTGTGTTTGCCAAGATTACTTGGGTAAAGTAAAACTTTTTAGGCCGAAAGTGCACGTTACTACTGCGCGTAGATGCAACCATCTGAAAACTACTGCGCATAGGTACGATCATCCAGTAACCAATGCGCATAGATCCAACCATCTGGTACCTACTGCGCATAGATATCTGCCATTTTGAATCCGCAATTGCAAATTGATATAAAATTCATAATCAGCTACCCCAAAAATATCTTTTTACAAAATTTTATCCAAATCGTTAAAGCTGAACGACAAATGACCGCCATATTAGATCAGCCATTTTGTATTTAGAAAAATGTATACCAAATTTCTAATGAGTCACCTCAAAAACCACATACATATTGCCCACCTTAGAGTACTCCACAATCCACAAAACCATTGGCTCTTAACTGTATTAGTGTATGTGCAAATAAGATTGTTTAACCAGTTAATAAACCATATTATTAATTGTTTTCATTGATTTTATTAATGTCAAAAATTTGTAAAAAAAAATTAAACACATTTGTCAATAATTGGAAACCCAAACCAAAAAACAAAGTGTCAAAATTCAGGACCCTTTATTCACTAGTGTCTTCAATTAATTCATTAATCAATAACATATTTTTGTCAAATCTTATATTTAAAAACATTTGCGATTACTTTAGCCAACCCGATTGCGGGATTGCAAGTATAGGATTTCCGCGATTGCGGGATTGCAGATAGAGATTTCGGTTATTGCGGGATTGCAGGTAGGGATTTCGGCGATTGCGAAGTGATTGCGGGATTGCAGCGACGATTGCAAGTGATTTCGGACCAAATGTACACGTATTGCGGAAGGTGGTTTCCCCCTCGGGTAATACTTTTAAAAAACTGTTCGGGTTACTACGTTTTATGGGCGTACTTTTAGCAAATAAAATGTTGTATGCCATTGGGTTGAGACGTGTCTCTGTGCTTTGCTGAATTGTAGGCCTCCGCTAACGTGTCGGAATTCAAACTTTGAGCTCAGCCCAAAAAGACTCACTTCTCAGCCTTATGACATAAATAACTATTATCTTGACTATTATTGTGAACCAGTAGCTACGGACATATGGCAACATAGTGAACATTAACCAGTACCTACCTATTACACGAGAAGCGGTTCGGTCGTGCGCGTTAATATTTATCAAGTTCAATTTCTTTTTATAAATATGCCTTTGTGTAAGTCTGTGATTATTGTCATTAACTTCAATTCATGCTTTTATTTTGTTTTGTTTGCATGAAGTAGGACATTTTTATATACCATTTAAGTTTTTCTTCTCTGAGTATGTAATTACACACAGCCGGATGAAAATAACCTAATGAGGTTTTATTACAGTGCAGCTTGTTATTTTTAACATGACTGTACCAGAAGACTCTTCTTTCGAGAAGAGGTTAGTTTAAGGAGACCAACCGTTCTGATTTAACCAGAACTATACTGTTTTTGAGAACCATGTTAAATTAAGTAAAGTAAAAGTTCTGTTTTTCAAAAGCTTTTCCATTAACAAAAAATTATATTTTCCACTTTGCCAGATTTTCCGCCCAATTGTGCAACCCTGCTCGCCCCACTAAATACAAACTCTAAATGATATGCCTCTGCAAAGAGGAAAATGCATCTTTAATGCAGAAATGCAAAAGAATTACCCATATTGTTGTGTTTATCTTGAACAAATTGTCCTGTAGAGAAAGTTTTTTCCAATATGAACAACTTTTGGACAAAAGACAAATCACAATCACAATTGCATATTTAAACACTAAAATCATTATTAGGTATACCTAATTATAATTGTTAAAACTAATTTCGATCAAACATGCTTATTAAGGTGATTTAAAAAAAATGAAGTACTAATAAAAAAAAATCACTCCCAAGAAAAATATAGTTTAAAAAAATCTTAATTTGTAATACCTAATATTATGTTAATAGAAATACATTTAAACATTTTATAAAAAATTCAGATTTTTTATTAGAGTTCTGGTTTTTCTTTCAGGAGAGTTGGTCACCTTAGTTTAGTTAGTAAACCATTTAAAATCAAAATAAATATATTAATATCAAATTTAAACAACCCTGAGCAGCGCTCAGTGAGGAATGCTTATTGGACAGGTTTAATATAATATTTGGTTAAATTGTTGGGTTGGGAGGATCCTAGGAATCAATGGTTAAACTAAAATTATATACCTACACTCTATTTTATTATTATTAATTATATATTATAGGTATATGTTTTAGAGGTTTTCAGTGGTAAATTAAAAAAAAATTATTAAAACAAAATACCTACCCAGGTACCTATATTTTTTTTACTTTTAAGCATTAATTTTTGGACAAGTGAAGATACGTATATTACTGTAAATTACGGTAAATAATTTGTATTAATACAATTTTTATATTTTTAATCGGTTTTAATAAATTGCTTGGTAGTTTTCTTAAAAAATTTACAATGAAAAAAATAAAAATATTTCACTTTAATGGTTTATTTTATACCTACTACCTAATACCTACCCAGGTACCTATATTTTTTTTACTTTTAAGCATTAATTTTTGGACAAGTGAAGATACGTATATTACTGTAAATTACGGTAAATTATTTGTATTAATACAATTTTTATATTTTTAATCGTTTTAATATTTTTAATCGGTTTTAATAAATTGCTTGGTAGTTTTCTTAAAATATTTACAATGAAAAAAATAAAAATATTTCACTTTAATGGTTTATTTTATAAATTCACCGACAATTTTAACCTCGATTTTAAGGCTACAATAGGATTTAATTAAATTCAACAAAATAGGTACCTACCTACATGTTTTTCAACTAGTAAATAACTTTTCAATACATTTTTGGGTTGTAAAATTAACTACCTATTGTTAGATGCATACTAAAACCTTTTTTGTTCTTAATCCCATTTTTAAAATTTGATTTTGTAGGAATTTTTAGGATTTTTAATACTAAATTAGTTATAAATTTTGCATTTCGGATATTTTATAAGGGTTTAAAATCCAATATGATAGTAAAATGTATAATAAAATCTACAATATATTATTACAATATTCTCTGTAAAAGTATCTACTAAAGCATTTGCCCTAACTGTACTGCACAAAGTAGTGTAGGTAGTAGGTACCTACTAACTAAAGGTAGGCATTATACCTAAAACCCAGTTTAAATGTGTCCTACGCTGAATGTTTTACAGTTTTAAATACCTATTTATAATGCCTAAATTAAACATATTTTTTTAAACTTTAAAATGTTGGTTTAAAGCAGAGAATAGTCTCTGGTTTAAAGTATATATAGGTAAATAATAAACCTGTGGTATCTCTGCGTTGGATACCATCACAAAGCGAACATGATGTACGGTACATCGCAGTACCATCTGACAACAGCGCATGGAATTCAATGCATATGTTTTGTTTAGTTTAAATAAACAATTTAACAACATTCTATTTATTTTATGGACTTTGCACTGGCTTAGTCAAAACAAAAACTGGCGATAAATAATAAACACGTAGGTATTGTTTTCGTTGTTCGTCACGAAAACCTGACATTTTAAGACATTAAGAAAAAAAGCAAAAGTTACCTGGAGAAGATCCGAAGGTTACTACTCCTTTTAGCACTGTGATCACTTAAAATTATCACTAGTACACCTAATTCACTTAAAAATTATTCACTTACACTTACTTTTCACAATTTTACACAGAAACAGTTTTTATTAGATTTAATTTCAATGAATTTTCGTGATATGGCAGAAAATAAGCTAAGCGTCGGACAGCGAAAGTTTCCCACTCCGCGGCTTGAAACAGACTGGCTGTTCGCCGCCTTGGATGCTTCAACCCTGCGTCAAATCTGCAATTCGGTCTTGTGGAACACGATGTAGCACTGAAATGGCCAATGTTGTCATTATTTACGTGTTGATTTTAATTTACTTAGGATTCTTTACATTTCTTGCAAGTGAATTGTTATGTTGCGGTAAGAATTTAACATTAATTCGCCGACAACCAATGAACCATTTCCAAAGCAAGCAGTACCGGAGTCAAAAAAAGGAAGCCCCTTTTAAAAATGACAGTATCTGAACCACAGTATACATTTTTTAATTTATGATCAAATCAGGTATTTTATAATATTAATATATAATTTATCTATATATGTAGGTACGTAGGTACCTAAGTAATTTTTTAATTTTATTAATAATTTTTAATAATTATTGTTAAATGTTATATTTCTTATGTATTAAAAATATTACATAATGCCACGATACACAAAAACCGGTATGCTGATGCGCATGTTATAGAGCTAGCTCTATCTCTCTCTCTCGCACCGTTTGACGTCATGTGCGAACCAAAAGCTGGCGGGTAACTGGGTTGGAATGTAATTTGCACTGCAAATTCACGTTATATTCGAAAACTTATAATTATAGGGACGACCTGGGTGCAATTATTAAGTGTAACAAATGTTAAGAGAAATCTAAATTGGCAGCAAGCGGTTTTAATACTAATGTAACCTAGTAACATATTTTAAGCAATTAATTTCCTACCTTATTATTTTTAAAAATATTTTTATCTAATTCAATTAAGTTAACTTACGCTAGAGCGAATTTAACATTTTTTTAATGTAAAAAGTAACAAAATTATAAAAATGCATTTATATAGTAGGTAGTAAAAACGCACGCCCGCTTTAAACTGTCAAAGTAAAAAAACTGCTTTTTTTAATTGTGACATACAATTGTGTTTTAATTTTTATTATTAGTAAGAACTTATGGCATAAGCTTGCATAAGTCTTATGCAAGCTTTTAAAAAATAAAACTACTTATAAGTACCTACCTAACCGAAAATTGGGTATACCAAAAATTGCCTTTACTTACCGTTTTTTATTTTTATTTTATCGTTTCTCTTGCATGCATTTATCTACTGTGCTGCCAGATCTTTATTTAAATTTAAATCGAAAATATTTAATGTTTAGTTAGGTTGGGTTTTGCTGTCTGCTACAGCTAGAGATGCGACTTGAAACAAAACGGTCCGTTTTTTTGTTTTTTTTCATTGTTTTTTTTCAAATGTTTTTTTTTCACATTTTAGGATTTTTTCAAGATTAGTCCCATTTGCCTAATTTTTTAGGTTTCATGGACTAAAATTAGCCACTAAATGACAATTAGTAAATGTAAATACAGTCTCGCGCCACCACCACCGAATTGACCAATAAGGGCCGCGCTTGTTTTCATTTTGGTCCTAAAAAAAGTAACTACATATAATATTTTTGATTCAGCGCTTGATTTTTCAAAAAGCTTCCAAAAGCACTTTTTTCATGATTTTTCAAATTCATGTAGAGTATGGATTTTTTTTTAAAAAACAATACCAAATTCTTGTAGAACATTTATTCATTGGTGGTTATGTCAGAACATTTCGTGGACCAGAAAGCCAAAAAAAATTTTTTTATTACGGTATTTGTTAGGATTGAGCGTTACACATTTTTCATCTAAATAAATCAAAACTAGAAATTTCAAGCTTCAAATTGCTTTTTTTACGGCTTCAATACGACCAGTTTTAACAAAGATACATCTATCCGAAGAATCGCAAAACAATTTTTTTATCCTTTAATTTTTTGTATTGGTGAAGAAGTTTTACATTGCTACTGGTTTCCAATGTGGAAACTACCAAATAATAAGAAATCAGATTTTTTAGTCTCGGTCAAAATTTTCAATAATGAAAAATTTAATATATTCCACATTTCACTTTATTATATTTTACTCAAAATTTCATTTTGAAAAAAAAAAAACGTTGTTTTCTATTTTTTTTTTTCATGTTTTTTTTCACATCTGAAAAAAACCGTTTTTTACATCTCTAGCTACAGCACAACCCGACATATTTTAAATAGTTATTTTAATATTATTTTTATTTAATAGTCCAAGAAATATAACACAAACTCAATAAATAACCTGGTATAAAACACCCGTGCATGCACGGGCCGTGCAGCACGGCTATATATCTAATATCTTGTAAATGGTTATTGCTGTTCAATTAATGCAGTAAAAACTTTACGAAACACGTTGCAAAACCATCGTGGCTTATGCTTTGCAAAATAGAATAATTTCGGAAAAAAATAAATCGTAGTAAAATACCCATTCATAGCGTATACGCTATGCATGGATGTTTGTAACATTTGAATCTGGTTCGCACGTGACGTCACATGAGCGGAGTCAACGAGTTTTCGTTTCATAACCAGCATTGTGTATCGTGACATCATGTCTCGGACTTTAATCGAAAAAATGTAATAGTCTCGCAAAAATAAGAAGAAACGTTTATATGAACTGGTAAAGTTTAAAGGTTTGTTTTTGAGATACTGGGTGTTTAAGTTAATAAAAAAAGTATGTTCACGACACTTATTTTTAGGTTAAGCAATTAAAAATACAAATTTTTTGTCTTCTGCATTTTTCCCTATCTGGCTTAATTTTCAAAAAAAATATTAAATTTGTGACCATAATTTTTTTTTCAACGCTAGCGAATTAAAAATTAAACAAGATAGATAAGAACTGCACGAGGCAAAAAACTTCTATTTTGTACTGTTTAACCAAAAACATAATAATAAACTTATAAAAAAGCAGTATATTTCTAGTTTTGCATTAAATAAATTAAATTTAATTACATTAAATTAAGCCTTTTGTCCATTACCAAATTTTTTTTATTAAATTCGTTCGAGGAGTTTTGAAATTTTTGACAAAATATTTTTTTAATAACTTTATCACCATGTATCTTAAAATACAAGTTTAATAAAAACTTTCTCAAATAAAATCTAAGACATCCTGTATATAATACCTAATTATGTTTTAACATCTTAAAAGATAAAATTTTATATAGGGGTAAAACTAAAAATAATAATTATGTTATAATAAGATTTAAAATTGGGGAAAAATAAATAAGTCGCTTACAAAAACACCCATGGTTCAATTTCTTGCAGAAACAAAGCCAAACATTGACCAATATTTTGTTAAATTAATGTAGTTATACATAAATAAAATGTATAAATACATTATTAGAAAACCATCTTGGCTTATGCTTTGCAAAATACAATAATTTCGGAAAAAAACTCAAAATGTTTCAGATTTATTACTTGATGTTTTAAATACATTATATCAAAAAATAAAATTCATTAATCAAGGTAGATTGTTCATTATTCAATAAATTAATACATTGTATTAATGTGCAAAGTTATAAACGCCTACAGACTCTGTAGTACAGAGTATTAATTATTTAGCTTTCCGCTTTACTAGCCAACAGTGCAAGGACGTATTTGCTCCTGTTCCAGAACCCACACCCTAGGAATCTTTTGTGTTTGTGAGTCGGTGGTTATTGTGAAAGTAAAAAGCAGATAAATAGAAAACAAAAAGGTAAGAAATATCACATATTAATGTAAAAAAGTAATATAATTTATGAAAATAACACTAAACACGTTAAATGAGTCGCCGATGTTTGTATTACAATTATTGTCAATTATTGACTACAACCATTGTTTTTAGAGGTTACAATAGCTATTTTTGCGGAGCTAATCCCGAACTATTTCCTAAATCCTAGACATGCGTTTTTTAAAATTTGGGGTTCAAAATGTAAAGTGCGCATGACAAATATTAAAATGCCCATGCCTAGGATGTCCGAACTAGTTCGGGATTAGCACCGCGAAAACACCTAATATAATCATAAGCATAATAAAAACGGCTCTAACACAGCTATACACTATTATTATAATAGTGTTTTAGCTCCCAAACAACACAGTACGTTTTAAAAATGTACATTTTTGGTTATATTTACGTACTTACGTCTTAAGACCAAAAAAATATGTATTAAGTACGTACTATATATTATGTACATAAAATGTAAGGTTCAGTCGTCCTCAGTACGTACATAGTATGTACAAAGAAGGTATGTGCAAAATACTTCTAAAGTATTCCTGGTTGCATAGTGTGTACCGATCGCGGCAAAGGCGGTGTGGATCACGTGATGTTCTTAAATCTCGCCTATGTTGACTTACATGAAGAGTATATATATAATATATATATATATATTATATATACCTATAGGCTCAGATTGTCCTTTACTTTGGTGTGACAATACAAGTTGTTTGATACTAAAGAGACCTTAAATAGGTGGAAACAGCTGTCAATTCTTGAAGAATTTCAAGTAGGTGAACGCAGTAAAAACATTTCCTCTAGAGAGCTGAAGGTTCAATATTCTGGAATAATACCACTAGTTTCTTGAAAAATATAAAAAAATGGTTAAAAAAAATGTTTTTTTTATTTAGTCAGCCAAATGTATTTAGTTAAATCAAACAAATAATAGTTGGGCTAACTAAAGCTTTTTTCTGTGTACGGAATAAAAGTACGATTTATTTATGTACAAACTACGTTCTTAATACTTGGTAAATGTACATACATAAAACGTATTATCGAGTGGAATTTGGACGTACTTAGTACGTACTTAGGATGTACATAAGATATCGCAGTACGTACGTAAAATGTAAGGTACGTCGAAGGTCGACGTACTATGTACGTACATAAAATGTAAACTGGTTGTTTGGGCTGTGACTCTAACATTATTTTAACTCAACTTCTTATACGTTAGATACAAATTCTACACACAGAATATAATTTTTAATTATTACTTTTCATTTTTACAATTGG